GCCAGCTCAGCCCGCCTGGGGGCGAGGCTGACTGGCATGTGGTGCTGGGGGATTGAACCGCGATCCATGTGCTTTGCTAAGCTTGTTCTAAGTAGGTGCTTTAGACCACTAAGCCATCTCACCAGCCCCTACTCTGATCTTTATAATTTCCTCCCTTGCCTGAGCTTTTTTTGGCTTAGGCTGCTCTTTTTTTTTTTTCTAGAAATTCGAGGTTCACTATTAAGTTATTAGCTCTTGCTGTTTTTGTGATGGGTACTCAATGCTATAAATTTCCCTTTTAGGACTGCTTTCATTGTGTCCCATAAGTTTCAGTATGTTGTATTGTCACTGTCATTTAATTGTAGAAATGGTCTAATTTCTTCTTCAATTTCATCTATCACCCATTAGTTGTTCCAGAGGATGTTATTTAATTTCCATGTGTTTATAAAGTTCTTGTGGTTTCTTTTACCATTGATTTCCAATTTCATTGCACTATGCTTTGACAGTATGCATAAGATAATTTTAATTCCTTCACATTTACTGAAGCATCTTCTATGAGCTAGTATGTGGCCTATTTTGGAGAACTTCCCATGATGTTATAGGGTAGAACCCTCTATAGACATCTACTAAGTCCATTTGTTCAAAAGTTTGGTTCAGTTTTAATATTTCATTGTTGATCTTTTGCCTAGTTGATCTGTCTTTTTCTGACAGTGGGGGATTGAGGTCCCCCAATACAATTGTTTTAGTGCTTAATTTGATTTTTTCATGCCCATTCATATGTTTTATATAGTTGGGTACACTGGTATTTGTTGCACATATATATATGATATCTCTTCCTCTTGGATTGTTCCCTTTATAAGGATGGAGTGACCTTCTTTGTCTCTGTCTTAATCAGTCTTGGCCTGAAATTCACTTTGTTTGCAAATTAAATAGCTACCCCGGCTTTTTTTGTGATTTCCTATTACATGGAGTATTGTTTTCTAATCTTTGACTTTAAGTCTATAAATTTCTTATTGAACTAAATGTGTTTATTGTATGTAGCATATTGTTACATCTTGCTTCTTGATCCATTCTGCCAGCCTGTGTCATTTGATTGGTGAACTGAGATCATTAACATTGATGGTTATCACTGATACATATAGACTTATCCTTGTGATGTTATTTTTCTGTTGTTGGTGCTCCCTCCAACCCCCCATT